GAAACTTCAATTTGTTGTTTCACTTATTTATGCATTCAGTGCCCTGACCAGGAATTGAACTAGCAATCTTGGTATATCAGGACAATGCTCCAACCAACTGCGCTATCTGGCTAGGGCCTTGCTTGCTTGCTTTCTCTTTCTTTCTGCCCACTTCTTTTTAAAAAAATACTCACCTGAGGATATTTTCCCATTGATTTTTAGAGGGTGAACATGAGGGAAAGAGAGAGGGAGAAACATCAGTGTGACAAACATCAATTGGCTGCCTCTCACACATGCTCAATAAGGCTTGGGATGAAACCTGCAACCCAGGAAGATGCCTGGACTGAGAATTGAATCAGTAACCCTTTGGTCCATGGTCTGATGCTCTAACAACTGAATAACACTGGCCAGGGCAGGCTTTGTTTTCTTATTTTAACCAGGTAACTGCCACAATATTTTGAATTTAATTTAAAAAGGTCTGATGCTTATGGTGTACAATTGGTTAAACAATTCCTCTCTCCAAATTTGCTTAAGTCATATTAAATAGAGTAAAATCTTTGATGGCATCTAACACTTAAGGAAAGTAAAACTTCTAAGGCTATCTGGCAGAGAAGATTTAGTGCAAAACACTTTAACATGCTTTATAACTGTCACCATGGACTTTGGGAACAGATAATACTGTGCACCTTTTGGGATTTTCTCAGACCACATTATCTATATATGCCAAAAGAAAAAAAATAGTAAGCAAATAATGCCTTCTAAGATAAAACAAAAATTTAAAAGTAAAGAATAACTTTCCACTTATACAAGCATATAAAAGGATAAATTACTACTCATTTACCTCTATAGATCAAAGATCTATTAAACCTAAAGAAAAACATGTGTCCCAATGTTATTTGGGATTAAAGAATATTCATATGCTGTTGGAGGCTTAGTAACTAAATATAGTAATTATTTTGGAGAAACATCTTTAAGCCTGTAACCCTTCTCCTAGGAATGAAAAGAAAGAAAATAGCCCTGGTTGGTGGCTCAATTGTTTGAAGCATCATCCATATACCAAAAAGGCTGTGGGTTTGATTCCTGTCAGGGCATATACTTAGGTTTGGGTTTGATCCCTGGGGGGGTGAGAAAGGGGGGAAGGTACATGTGGGAGGCAGCCTACTGATGTTTCTCTCTCTCCTTTCCTCTCTCTCTAAAATAAAAAATTAAAACACACACACATATCCTTGGGTGAGGATTTTTTTAAAAAGAATTCACAGTATAATAAAAATACAATGTGAAAAATGCTTTTTATGGCATTACTCATAATAAAATAATTGAAAACTTAGTATGGAGGTCAAGAAGAGATTTTCTCATGTATAGACTCAAGATAGCTGTTCAGTACTTGATGTCAAGGGATTAAGGCTTTCTCTTGGATGCCATTACACTAGGAAAAGAAAATAACTGATTTTATGACTGACTGTGTAGGAATAAAACTTGCTTAGGGAGAAACACCAGTTACTAATTACTGTGCTAAAAACTTTATACTATACAGTGGCAGTATTGTAAGGCACCTATCCAATATTCATTTTCTCCTTCTTATCAGAAATACTCCAATTTTGATTAGGGTGACAATCTGCCCAGCTAAAAATATTAGACTTTTCCAGACTCCCCAGCAACTATGGTAGCCTAACCAGTGAGATGCAGGCAGAAGTTCCTAAGAAAGTTGTTTCATTAATAAAAAAGGCAAACTCTTACTGGTAGAAAGATACCTCTCTGCCGTTGGTCATTCCTCTCTATTTTCTGCCCAGGAAGAAGCAGGCAATTTTTTGTGACTATAAGGCAAAATACTAAAGATAAAGCCCATATATGAGCTAATGGTGGCAGAACAGAAAAATAAAAAGAGCCCAGTCCCTGATGGCATTACTAAACTGCTATAGCACAGGCACAGCAGTTCATACTAGGGTATCTCCAAATGAAAACTGAGAATGACTCATTCTGCTGATGGCATTGTTGCTGATTTTGGGACCACTGAGCCTTCCTTGGACAATATGAATATCTGTTTAAAAAACAATAATGATTGTGTTTCATTCAAATATGTTCATTATTTAAAAAATTCAAGCCATAAAAATTATACAAAGAAAGTAACAAATCACCCCAAATTCTGGATATAAAGGAGACAGAGAGAGAGAAATTTATATAAGATTTAGAAAATATCATCTACATGTACTATTTAAAATAAAAAGCTGTAAGATTAATTTATTTTACTCCAATATAAAAAGAAAAAAATTAAAGAAATTACTTCTCTATATCATATACTAAATATAAACACACTCATAATAATTTCTGAATATGGAAAAATTTTAAATTTTAAGCAATCATTTAAAAAATATATACTTCAGTTTTAGACAATATCAGTGAATCTTCTTTCCATATGTATGTTAATATCTGTCCGTACGCACATATAAATACACAGAATGTGAACTTTAATGTAACCAAACAGTACATATTATTTCATAACTTATTTTTAAGTTTACATACTGTGAACATCTTTGCATACTGCACATTCTTCTGCAATATTGTTTTTAAGGATAAAATAATATTTCTTTTTTGGATTTACTGTAATTTAACAAATCCTGTATTACTTAACAGTATTTTCCTGATTTTTGTTTTTGCTATTATAACAATGCTGAGATAAACGTAAAGATAATTTTTTCTCTCATAATTATTTATAGACTAACTGCCAAAGAATAAGTGAAGTATTAAAACATTTTTAGTTTTTTATATATGCTGTCATATATCTTATATCGCCAACAATGTACTACTATAATTTAAACCTATTAAATAAAGCAAGTTCCTATTTCCATCCAGGGACCACTTCATATGATTTAGGCCAACATATCAATCATTATACATTTTTTTCATATATTTATTTGCCAATTGTAACTTTGTTGTTCTAAACTACTTCCTTGTCCATTTTTCCATTTTTGTGTTTTTCTTTTCACATTTAAGAGATTTTAAATATTAAATATATTAAGGGTTGTTATATATACACAAAAAATCTTTCCCTGGCTAGTACGGCTCAGTGGGTTGGGAATAATCTAATGCACAGAAAGGTTTCCTGTTTGATTCCCAGTCAGGCTCATGCCTAGGTTGCTGGCTCAATCCCTGGTAGAGGGTGTGCACAAGATAGCTAATTAATGTGTCTCTGTTTCCCTCTCCCTTCCTCTCTCTCTAAAAAAAAAATTTAAAAAATCTTAAAATAAAAATCTTCCTTCTGTATTTCTTCCTTTACAATTTTAGCTAATTTAAAATATAGTACACTGTTTAAAAAAGATCAATATCAAATGTGAGATTTGATTCTATAATTATTTTTTATATGAAAAGTATCACTGAATAGTACTTTACATTCTATTCTTTAAAAATAGAATGATTTTTAGAGAGAGAGAGGAAGGGAGACTGAGAGAGATTAAAAAAACATTGATGTGAAAAAACACCACCACTGATGTGAAAATGCAACATCAATTGGCTGGCTGCCTCCTGCATACCCACAACTGGGGATCAAGCAACCTGGGAATGTATCCTGACTGGGAATCAATACAGCAACCTTTTGGTGCATGGGATGACTCTCAACCAAGTGAACCACACCAGCCAGGGCTATTTTATTTTTTTAAATAATAAAAATAAGACAGCTGGATTGTAAAGAAGATATTTTACTTTAGACCAGGGGAAAGGGGGTGGGGGGAGGGAGGGCTGGGGAAAGGGAGGGAGATGAGAGAAAGAGAGATAGAGATAGAGATAGAGATAGAGATAGAGATAGAGATAGAGATAGAGAGAGAGAGAGAGAGAGAGAGAGAGTGTCTGTTTGGCAAAAGGACCTCTAGAGAGAAAATATAGGTAAGTTAAATCTTATTAATCTAAAAGTACATAAGCACCTTCTTCTGAGCTGAGATACTTAGTAATAGCTTAAGGATTAGGAGAATCACATATCAGGAAAAAAAAAAAGATTTAAATCTCTAGAAAAAGTCACTGTAACTTACCATGAACAAAGCACACAAGTTCTTAATTACTTCAAAAAAAGAGTAATTTTCAAGATTTAAAAAAACCATGAGTGTTTAAGAACAACTTTTAGTTCAAGCTAAGAGACCTACCTACTACCTACATATTCTTAAAAGTGTATACTAAAAATTAAATATTTTCTAACGCTGTGTTAACAAAAGACATTTCAAAAGTTTTTAAGGTATTTTTGTAGATTTCAGAATTAAGATCATTTCCATATTGCAGATTAAGATGGCTCCAAAGATAGAAATAGCACATAACTTATGTTCATAAACTCAGAATGGAACACTAACTTTCTGTGAGTGAAGCTAAAACAGTCTTTAAAATAGTTTATTAATATAATACTTAATGCAAGGTATAAAAGGATTATATAAATATATAAACATCAAGTTTAAATTAGTTTCAAGAAATGGTTAGTTAGGGCTAAAACAAAGCCTAGTACAATTTATCAGTGGTAATAAGGTTCTAATCTATTATGAATAACTGAAATTGATTGATGTCAAGTATTATTTCTGATATATAAGAGTTTTCAGAAAAAAAGTTCTATGAATTAGGAAGTTAGCCTCAATAATTTTCCCTTTGTTTTTTAGTGGAGGGTGACTTATTTCTGAATCTAAAATGCCTAAAAACTTTTTTTCTTAGGGTTCAACAATGTCCACAAAAACTCAATTTTTTTTTCACATATACCATATCCTATGCTCCCTATCATTGAGTATATTTCACTATTAAATGCTTCCCAAAAACATTAAGTCTGAAAGTGATGAGATTTGTAATAAACATTGAGAGAGTAAGGAAAAAAAGTAAAAAAAAAAAAATTTAACTTGAATTAGAAATCATGTTTGGTGAGAACTATGTGAATTTCTGCCCCAAAATGATAAAACTGAAATACAAAAATTTCTCTATTAGGGTGAAAGAGAAATGATATGAGCAAAACCAGAATAAAAGATAATTAACTTTTTACAGAAAACAACAAATTATTCTACCTGTGTCTGAATCTCGTTCTTCATTTCTTGATGGACTAATGGTAAAAGGAAGTTTACGCTTCATGGACGATTTCTCTTTCACCTCCTTGCCCACATCACTTCGATCAATTTTCGGAGTTCTACTATAGGATGCAATCTTATCTTTACTCTATTAAAAATAAAATATAAATTATAAAAATATTAGCTAAGCAATATAGTATTAAAAACACTTTATGAACTTTTCAAACATACACAAAAGTAGAGAGTGTATTATAAACCATCATTGTCCTCAATGCATTTAAGACTTTTTTCTAATTTGTTTCATACTCCCATACTTTTACTTAATATATATAATTTGTTTCATACTCCCATACTTTTACTTAATATATTAATACCAACAAATAAATATAAATTTAAAAAACTGATTCTGTATTTAATTAAACTGTGTTTTATTAATAACGTGCTCACCCACTTAGGCGAAGTGTCCTACCCTCACGGTCTACAGTTATTACCAAGATGTCTACTCTTATAAGCTAACATCCAAATTGGTGCAGCACAGCTAAACTGGGCTATGGTAATGACTCTTTTGTGAAAAATATGCTAGATACTAAAAACCTTAGCAGGAGAGTTTAAAAGAATAGTCTTCAAACAGGAATAAACAGACATTTAATTGTAGAGAATCTCAGAAGTAAAGTAGAAGTAGACTCAGATTGCAGAAAATACTAGCTTTCAACCCAAAACATAAAATAAACTGAAGGAAGGACAAGGTGGGGGAAAAGGAACATAAAAAGAAAAATACTAACTTTTTTAAATATAGAATTTATCAATATCAAAAATGGTTCTATAGAATATATATAACTGTGAGTTTAATAGTAAAAATGAGAGAGAAGAGGAAAATAAAACTTGGGAGGCCTATACAATTCCAGATGAGTTGTTAAAAAGATACAGAAAAATATTGTATTCATTTTTCAACAACTCAAAATTTAAGACCTGAAAAATGGATCATTTTCTAAACGTGCATTTCTAAAATTAGTTTATGAAAGAAAAATCCAAGGAACAGATATTTTCCATTTTATATAACTAATGGTATATACATAAAAGATAAGAAGGTACCCAATTCATTTTTTAAGTTTAAAATAAAACTGATACTGGAGTCCAAAACAGAAATTATAGACTAAATTGCTTATAAAATAAATCCAAACATAAACTATACTAAACAAATTGTGAAATAAAATTAGTATCTTAGCAAGATAATATAGTAAAACCTTGATATATTGGACTAATCTGGGAGTTGGGGTGTCTGTTAAAGCCAAAAGTCTGTTATATAATAAAATATGTTTTCAGAACGCATATGTTAAAAATTGACAAATTAGTTAGTTTACCTGTTTTTTACTTATGTAGACACACTTGTATAATTAAAATTAAGTATGTATGAAAAGTTTAATTTCATAGTTTTCTATATGTATTATCATAATTTTAAATTTATACTGAATAGTTCTAGTATCTGTGTACATTCACCAGTCACTGCAAGTAAAAATGCACACAGTTGGGGAATGGCTTAGTGCCTGCATTAAAACTTCGGTAGAATGCCACGCCACAAGAAAACAGAACCAATTACATTGTGCACAGTGTGTTGTGATCACATGCTAATTATTCATCAATTATTGTTTAGGAGTGGTGACTTTTAGATTAAAATATGTAGACTATAGTTGTAGATATGCAATATTTATTTATATAGGGGAAATTACCACAGTCCCCACCCCCCCAACACATGGCCTATTTGCTAAAATTTGTTAAAAATAATAATGAATAACAAAAAATAATCTGTTAATTATAAGTAAATTGTGATTAAAATTATTTTAAAATTAACAGGGTGTTAATTTTCACATATGATATACACACTGAATATTTGGTTGGTTAAATCTGAGGTCTGTAAAATTGAGGGTACAAAATTGAAGGTTTATTGTACTAGTATATCATAGTCAAGCAGGATTCATCCAAAGAATGTAAGAATAATTCATTATTAGAAAATCTTATAGAGATTCATTGTATCAAAATATTAAAGAAAGCCCTGGCAGGTGTGGCTCAGTTAGTTGGATGTCATCCCATGTACTGAAAGGGTTTGATTCCAGGGTCAGGGCACATGCCCAGGTTGCAGTGCTCGATCTCAGGTAGAAGACGGCCTACTGATGTTTCACTCTCACGTCAATGTTTCTCTCCCTTGCCCCCACTTCCTCTCTCTCTAAAAATCAATAAAATAGTATTTTTAAAATATCAAAGAAAAACCAGTGACAGCTGATATCATCTGAATAGACTACATTAATTCTTAATAAATCAATTAGCAAATTAGGAAGAGAATGTAACTACCTTATATCTTAAGTGGTAAAGATTGCTTAAAAATAAAAGCCTCTTATTTATTTCCCAGTTATAAAGTAAAATCCTCTTGTTTTTTTTTTTCTTTCACTTCTGCCAATGAAATGGAGCTTCATAGGCATGCATTATGTTCATAAAGATTCTTTAAAATGTAGGTTTAATTATTATTCAGGTACAAGAGGCTCAGTGCTCAGATTTGTGCATGGAATCACCGTCTCCCAATCTGGGACCCCTTGGGAAATGTTGGACTGCTGATTTCAGTCTGATCCCCACAGGCCACACCAAGGGACCCCACCGATGGGACCCCACCAATGTGTGGATCCATGCACTGGGCCTCTAGTATGCATATAAGATCTTTGGTTAATCTCTTCCCGCCCTTCCCCCTCCCTCCTCCCCTCTGAGATTCATCAGTCCGTTCCATGTTTCCATGCCTGTGCATTGAGCATCTGTCCCCTGGTGGTCATTGCATGTTATAGCTACCAGTCAAACAGTGGCACGGTTGAATGACTGAACGGTCGCTTAGGCTTTTATATAGAGTATATACCAGATGCTCAGTGCATAAAATTCACGCACAAGGGGGGGAGGTCCCCTCAGTCTGACCTGTGCCCTCTCACAATCCGGGACCCCTCGGGGGATGTCTAACTGCCAGGTCGGGTCTAAACTGTCAGTCGGACATCCTTCTCACAATCCAGGACCATTTGCCCCTATCCATTTGCCTTCCTGACAGCTCACCCCTAACCGCTCACCTGCCTGCCTGCTCAGTATTGGGACAGTGGCTCAAAAGGTACTAGGGACATAGAGGGAGAAACTGAATTGTCCAGCATTAGTGTGAGAACTGGAGGGGCAGTTTTCTAACAGACAGAAGTGCTGGCAGAGGTCATTGCTCCTTTTCTGAAACTCCCCCTACAGAGCCAGTAAGCACTCACCATATCTGTATCTCCATCATGATGGCCAACAATGTTTGCCTAGACCTGATGATTATCTGAGAGCCCACGCCACCCAACTTGAGAGCCCACTCAAATTGTTTCCAGAGGCTTTTTCATACAAATAGTCATGGTTCATGCTTTAAGCCTTCCTAAAATCTCTCAAACAAGTAGAATCAAACAAGTTCCATCTGGCCTTCATGTACCCCATACCTCTTGTTAAGTGGCCCCAGGCCTGGCACTAGCAGCAGCTGGAGTTGGTTTGTAGCTTTGCCTTGCCTGGCACCTCCAACCCCAGTACAAGTAGGAGTCTTCTGCAAATCATTTTGTAGTTCATACTGGGTGGCAAAACACAGGTGGCAGCTGACCTTGACCTGCACGTCGGGGGAGATCTGAGCCAGTGCACCTGGTGGACAGCTTCAGAGCACACTGATGCACCACCCAACCACCTCCACAAGAGACACACTCAAGGGATGGACTCAGGAGGCACCAGAGGCCTGCTGAAGTAAATCCTGCTCTATGGTGTGTGCTCTTGCACAGCTAGTCCTTCTTGGTGGGCCCAGCCAGTCTTTATTGCTTATAGGTGTGGAGATAAATCCCTTCCATTGACATGCCAACAGCAATCAAGGTTCAACTATAACAGGAAAGTGTATATAGTGGGGAATACCTGAAAAGCTCAGTTCAGGAGTGGGAATGCTGTGCCACTATACCCTCTAGGACAGCTACTACATTAGGCTACTCTACCAAGCATGGGAGATGTAGCAGCTCTACCCAATACATAAAAACAAACACAGGAAGGCTGCCAAAATGAGGATATAAAAAATCATGTACCAAATGAAAGAACTCCAGGAAAAAACCCACAAAAACTAAACGCAACAAAGACAGTAATCGACTAGATGCAAAATTCAAAACAATGGTTATATGGATGCTCAATGAACTTAAGGAAAGAGTAGATGAACTTAGTTAGAACTTCAACAGCATAAAAAAGGACATGGAAACCATAAAAAAGAACCAATTAGAAATAAAGGATATACTGACATGAAGAATAACTTACAAATAATTAACAGTTAAGTAGTTCAAATAAAGAATCAAATCAGATGTTTGGAATATAAGGAAGCAAAAAATACCCAATCAGAACAGCAAAAATAAAAAAGAATTTAAAAAAATATGAGAATGTTGTAAGGAGCCTCCTGGGACAACTTCAAGTATACCAACATTCATACCATCAGCGTACCAGAAGGGGAAGAGAGAGAGCAAAAAATGGAAATCCTATTTGAAAAAATAATGAGGGAAAACTTCCCTGTCCTGAGGGAAATAAACATTCAAGTCTAGGAAGTGCAAACAGTTCCAAACAAAATGAACGCAAAGAGGTCCACAATCAAGATACAACATAATTAAAATGCTAAAGGTTAAAGACAAAAAGAGAATCTTAAAAGTAGAAAGAGAAAAGCAGTTAGTTACCTACAAGAGAGCTCCCATAAGACTGTAAGCTGACTTCTCAACAGAAACTTTGCAGGCCAGAGCGACTGGTAAGAAATATTCAAAGTGATGCAAAGCAAGGAAGAACAACCAAGATAACTCTACCTAGCAAAGCTATCATTTAGAATTAAAGGACAGATAAAGAGCTTCCCAGATAAGAAAAAGCTAAAGGAGTTATTGCCACCAAACCATGACATGAAATATTAAAGGGTCTTCTTTAAGAAGATAAAATATATGAACAGTAAAATGGAAATAAATACATATCTATCAACTACTGAATCTATAATACAAAATAAACAGGCAGAGAAGAAACAAAATCATAGATACAAAAAGTTTTGATGGCTACCAGAGAGGAGGGGGATTGAGGGTAAGTAAAAATAGTAAAGGGATTAAGAAGTACAAATTGGTTGTTACAATACAATCATGGGGATGTACAGTATATCACAGGGAATATAGTAATAATACTCTAATAACTATGGTGTCAGATGGTATGAGATTTATTGGGATGATCAATTTGCAAGTTATATAATGTCTAATCACTGGAGTGTACACCTGAAACTAATATAATTTTGTATATCAACTTTAACTTTTCAAAATGACTTAAATTTAAAAAAATGAAGGTAAAAGAAAGTCTTACTGACTCATGATGTCTGAGTATAATCTTTGACCAATCAATGGCTGCTGGCTTATCTATGCAGACACAGGGGCAATCCCTAGGAAGCAAGACTAAAGAAGAGAGAGAGAGAGAGAGAGAGAGAGAGAGAGAGAGAGAGAGAGAGAGAAATGGACAAAGTATCATGACAAATACCACAGGTAAGCTCCTGACATTTTACTAAAAACAAATCAAAACAATAACCTATCAACAATGACAATGTCCTTGGGAAGTAATGAGAATGAATCTAGGGCTGCTATGACCTAAATTGTCCAGTTTTTAATAAAAATTAAGATATATAAAAAGGCAAAATGAAGATAGTCCTAGATCAATGAAGACAGAGAAATCATGGATGATGATTTGACAATAAATACTAAGAAAAATTCTCAGAGAGTGAAAGGAAATGATACTGACAGTAACTTTAATCCATAGAAATAAAGAAAGAGTGCCAAAATTGGTAAGTATGTAGGTATGTAGGTAAAAACAAAAACCAGTAGAAAGTCATTTTCTTTTCTTCTCTTATTTCTTTAAAAGAGAAGATTATATAAAATAATTATAACATTCTGTTGTCGCATTAACAAATATAGATATAATCTATATTACAGATAACATGAAAATTAGCAAATTGAAGCCATAATGGAACATTGCTATTTTTACTGGAATTAAGTCAACATTAACCTGTAGTAATGCACATTATAATCCCTAGATCAATATTTTAAAGATTATAATTCAAGAAACATTCTTCAAAAGACACAGAAATTTAAATAACACAATGAAAAATATCTTTTAAAAGGCAGCATAGATAAGAAACAAAAACATAAAACATGTAAGAGCAAAATAGCAGATAAATACCACCTTATCAACAATTACAGTAAATGTGAGATTAAATACTATAGTAAAAAAGCAGAAAGTGCCATTGCAATCAGCAAGAAATAAAAGTATCCATATTTAAAAAGGAGTAAAATTATCTTTATATGCCAATTACATTATCTCATTTGTAGAAAATCTTAAGGAATCCACAAAGTTTTAAAAACAAAAAAATGAGATCAGTAAAGTCACTGTTGATATAGGATCACTATATAAAAAACAATTACATTTCTACTAGAGGCCTGGTGCATGAAATTTGTGCACGGGGCAGGGGGTGTCCCTCAGCCCAGCCTGCACCTTCTCCAATATGGGACTCCTCAAAGAATGTCCAACTGCCCGTTTAGGACCAATCCTGGTGGGATCAGGCCTAAACGGGCAGTTGGACATCCCTCTCACAATCCAGGACTGCTGGCTCCCAAATGCTCACCTGCCTGCCAGCTGATCACCCCCTAACCACTGCCCTGCCAGCCTGATTGACGCCTAACTGCTCCCTTGCCGGCCTGATTGCCCCTAGCTGCATACCCCTGCAGGCCTGGTTGCCTCCAACTGCCCTCCCCTGCAGGCCTGCTCACCACTAACTGTCCTCCCCTACTGGCCCAGTCACCCCTAAACTTCCCTCTCTTTCTGGCCTTGTTGCACTAACTTCCCTTCCCTGACAGCCTGATTGCCCTTAACTGCCCTCCCCTTGCAGGCCTGGTCCACCCCTCCCACACTGCCCTCCCCTGTCAACCTAATCCCCCCAACTGCCCGCCCCTGCAAGCCTGGGTCCCCCACAACTGTCCTCTCCTGTAGGCCTGATCATCTCCAACTCCCCTCTCTTGGAGGGCTTGTCCCTACCAACTTCCTTTCCTTGCTGGCCTGATGGCCTACAACCGCCCTCCCCTGCCAGCCATCTTGTAGTGGCCGTTTTGTGTCCAGATGGGGGCAGTCATCTTTGACCACATGTGGGTGGTAATCTTATGTGTTGGGAGTGATGGTCAATTTGCATATTGCTCTTTTATTAGATAGAATATCCTAGCCAAGAAAAACCCAAAATGAAATTACCTACAGTAGTGTCCAAAAGAATAAAACAGGAGTAACTGAACAACTGAAGCACATGATTTGTACACTGAAGATGACAAACCATCTCTCAGAGAAGCTGAAGATCTAAATAAATGAAGAGATATTCTATGAGGATGGATAGGAAGACATATTGTTTATATGATAATACCATTCCAATGATCTACAGATTCAATAATATCCTTATTAAAACACCAGCAGGCTTTTTTCTAAAAGAAAGTGACAAGCTAATCCTATGAAAATGCAAAGGACCTTGAACAGCCAAACAATTTTTGAAAAGAAGTTTGAAAACTTACAATTCCTGATTTTAAAAGCAGATTTAGGGTTTATCTGTGGATTGGGATAGGAACAGACTGATTGTAAATGGATGAGGATCTTTTAGCAATGATGGAAATGGTTTAAACTAGTTTGTGATGATGGTTGCACAACTCTTTTTCCCAGTTCCAAGAGTAAACAAATCTTTAGTATATCATACCTTTCTTCCATATGGTTTTTCTACCATATTGCTGTCACTGTCAGAATTTTCACTCTGAACTGGTTTTGTGAACCCAGATTTGGGCATTTTATAGCTCTTCAGCTAGCTTCTTCTTTTATCAGTCTTCTCATTCTGGATCTGTAAAGAATGGATATATAAGGATTATGTATATACCTCCGCAATAAAACCTATTTAAGGTTTATGCAGTTTATGCAATTTGGTTTTCTCTATGTCTTCATAAGATAATTTATTTCTTCAGGGAGGTTATCATAACCTAAAATAAGTTTTCATCAAATTGTGCCTCTAAAGCTTTCTTGTTCAAGTCCACTTGACTTGACACTAAAGAGAAAAAAAGGGAACTACTTTTATAATCCTTCCCACCTTCTCTACACTAATTTTATCTCTCCAGTATTCTGGGTAACAGAAGCAACTGAGTGGAAGCAGTGACAAAGGTTTTGTCATTCGAGTATGGCTCCAGAAGTAGGAACTCCTAATATATTCTCTGGCAGTTCTGTATTGGTCTGGCAGTTATTTCTGATGGTCCAACTAAGAACCTTATAGGTTTGATTGGTAATTTTACAACACTTAACTCTATTTTAAATTAAATAAAATTAATTAAACCCTTCTTTTTAAAAATAAATGTTTTTATTGATTTTTAGAGAGACAGGAAGGGGGGGGGGGGAAGAAATATCAATGTGAGAGGGATACATTGATCATTGCCTGCCCCCCCCCAACCTGCATCCTGTCATGTTCCCTGACTGGTATGACCTTTCCGTACATGGGACAATAACCAACCAACTGAGCAACACTGGCCAGTGCTAACCCTTCTTACTTAAAATCCTGGAGTAGTTTATTTTCCTTCACCTAACTTCCAGACATCACCAGGCATTTAGTCACTTTATCGACCTATTCACTGATTTAATCCTTCTCATACTGCACTGTAATTATCACTATATGTATCATTTCCTTTCCAATTTTTTCAGCCTTCAACTCTGCAAGCTTTATCAGGGCAAGGACCCTTTAATAAGCTTATGCTTATGTCCAAGCTTGAGAGGTTTAGAAAAGTTCCAACGGGGAAAGCCATGAAGTTGCTGTATGACAATGGTTCTCAACCCATCTAATGCTGTGACCTTTTAATACAGTTCATGTTGTGGTGACCCCCAACCATAAAATTATTCTGTTGCTACTTCATAACTGTTATTTTACTACTGTTAATGAATCGTAATGTAAATTATCTATGTTTTCCGATGGTCTTAGGCGACCCTACTAGCGGTTCTCAACCAGTGGGTCATGATTCACAGGTTGAGAACCGCTGCTGTAGAACCTAAGACCATCGGAAAACACAGATATTTACATTACGATTCATAACAGTATTAAAGGGACGTGGCATTAGAAGGGTTGAGAACCATTACTGTAATGATAACCTATTAGCCATATGTGGTTGTTGCAAGTTAAGTAATTAAAGTTAAATTATGGACTACCCAGTGCAGACATAACAATATTTCTATTATCACAGAAAGTACTATTGCTCAACAATGAACTACACTGAGGCTGCTGGCCAATGGGACCATGAATTGGACCACAACAACAAGCAGAATGACTGACATGCTGTAAATTTCCTATAAATGGACTCAAAGATCTAAAAAACGCTACATTCTAGTATTTATGTGAATTATTAATATCAGACATATACTCAGGTGAGGATAAAAAAGAAAAGAAAAAAAATGTCATATCCTACGAAAGACCCATCTTAAAAATGCCGAAAGAAAGTTGTAATTTTTTCATGGTGAAGGGACTGGAGTCTGTGTTGATGAAAACACCTTGGCGGCTGTGGTGGCTGGCAGTGGCTGTAGGAGGGGGTGGTGATGGGGCTGGCTGATCAGCCTGGTTGCTTCCCTCAGAGGGAGGCCAGACTGTGGCTTAGGCACGCTCACTATGGGGAGTGGGCCTAAGTCATCAGTCGGACAGCCCCTGAGAGCTCCTGGTCTGCGAGAGGGGGCAGGCTGGGCTGAAGGACCCCCCCCCCCACCCAGTGCATGAATTTCATGCACTGGGCACCTAGCGTGTGTGTGCGCGCGTGCGTGTGTATTTATTTATTTATAGTGTGTGTGTGATATATATATATATATATATATATATATATATATATATATATATATATATATATATATATATATGTGTGTGTGTGTAATATTTTCTTTACTCATCCATCAACAGACAAGTGGGCTTGCTAGGTCATACTGAAGTTCTATTTTTAATTTTTTGAGGAACCTCTACACTGTTTTCCATATTGGCTACACCAATTTACATTCCCACCAATAGTGTACATGGAACCATTTTGCCACATCCTCACCAATACTTGCTATCTTTTGGCTTTTGTATAATAGCCACCCTAACAAGTGGAAAGTAATATTTTCTTGTGGTTTTGATTTAAATTTCCCTGATGATTAATGATGTTGAGTACTTTTCATATACTTGGCAAATTGCATACTTTCTTTGGAAAAATAATCTGCTCAGGTTCTTTGCCCGTTTTTGAAATCAGGTAATTTTTTGCTATTGAGTTATATATTATAATTTCCTTAATTATTCTGGATGTTAACCCATTGTCAGATACTTTTCCCCATAGGTTGCCTTTTCATTTAGTGTTTCCTTCGCTGCACAGAAGATGTTTAATTTGGTATAATCCCACTTATTTTTGCTTTTGGTTTCATATGCATGAAATCACTCCCTAGACCAATGTCAATAAGCTTTCCCCCGATGTTTTCATGTAGGAATTTATGGTTCCAGGTTTTACACAGAAGCCTTTAATCAATTTCATTAATTTTTGTATAAGGGTCCAATTTCATTCTTTTGTACGAGCATATGCAGTTTTCTCAATATCACATACAGAAAAGACTATTCTTGACCCATTTTGTGTTTTGGGCATTCTTATCAGAAGGTTGCTGACCACATATGCATGGGTTCATTTCTGAGCTCTCTAATCTGTTCTACTGATCATTGTGTCTGTTTTTATGTCAGAAACATACTGATTTGATTACCACAGCTTCCTAATATTTTATCTGGAAGTGTGATGCCTCCAGCTTTGTTCCCTTTTTCTTAAGATTGCTTTGACTATTCAAGGTCTTTTGTGGTTCTATGTAAATTTTAGGATTGGCTTTTCTAATTCTATGAAAAATGCTATTATAATATTGATAAGAGATTGCACTGAATCTGTAGATCACTTAGGGTAGTATAGGCATTTTAATATTACTGATTATTCCCTATCCACGAACACAGTATATCTCTGCACTTATTTGTGTCTTCAACTTCTGTCATCAATGTATTATACTTTTCAGGGTAAAAAATTTTCACTTCCTTGGTTAAATTTATTTCTTAAATATTTTTTTATACTATTTTAAATGAAATTTTTCTTAATTTCTTTATCTGATAGTTCATTGTTAGTGTACAGAAATACAACGGTGCCCTGGCCAAGTGGCTCAGTTGGTTGGAACGTTGTCCAAAAGATTGCGGGTTCGATCTCCAGTCAGGGTGCATATGGGAGGGAGGCAACTGATTAATGTTTCTATCTCAGATAGATATCTCTCCTTCCCCAGCTAAAATCAATAAACATATCCTTGGGTGAGGATTTTTAAAAAAGAAAGAAATGCAACTGTTTTTTTGTATGCTGAATTTGTATGTGGCAACTACTGAATTCATTTATTAGTTCTAAATAGTTTTTTGTTTGTTTCTTTTTGTGGTCTTCAGAATTTTTTATATATAAGAGGTCATGTCATCTGCAAACAATATAACTTCATCTTTTCTAATTTATATGTCTCTTATTTGCTAACCTAATTGCAATTTTGATATTGTGTCAAGATTATAAAGTGCCCTGTTTGAGGCAAGTGTCCAGGAGGCGGTGTGGAGAAAGGATGTAAGACATGAAATAACCATTCTGCCTCTAGACTTTTGCAATCCAGTTTCTCCCTAGATTTCCTGCCTGTGATCCACCACCGATTATCAGGAACCAGAGATTTAACAGGTCTTGCTATTTCTCTTGGTACAGGCTGGTGAAGGACCAGCTGCTGACAGCAACTAAGGACCTCAGTTCAGTCCTGAATGGGTTTTTCCAATAATTGCAATTAGATTATTAGTCTCTGGTTTCCTTGGGCAACCCCTAAATGTGAATTCCTTACTGTATAACCTCACCCTTACAGGGGCTGCCATCCAAAACTCTGGACATAGAGCCCAGCAATATTTAATGGCCATGTAAGAAGTACAATAAAATTTGAAATTCTTGCCATGAAAAAAAATCATAGAGTGCATTTACACAAACCTAAATTGTATAGTCTACTACACATCTAGGCTATATGGTATGGCAGCTTATTGCTCCTAGGCTATGAACCTATACCGCACATTACTGTATTGAATACTGTAGGTAACTTTATTTGATAAACATAGAAAAGGTACAGTAAAGCCAAAACCGGTTTGGCTCAGTGGACAGAGCGTCAGTCTATGGACTGGAAGGTTCGATTCCAGTCAAGGGCAAGTACATTGGTTGCGGGCACATCCCCAGTAGGGGGTGTGCAAGAGGCAGCTGGTCGATGTTTCTCTCTCATTGACATTTCTAGCTCTCTATCCCTCTCCCTTCCTCTCTGTGGAAAGTCAATAAAATATATATTAAAATAAGAAAAGGTACAGTAAAAATGTGGTATATATGATAAACAACGGTACACTTGTACAGGTATATGACTGGAGCCTGTAGGACTGAAAGCTGCTCTTGGTAAATGACTGTATAATGAATGTGAAGGCTTAGTACATTGCTACATGCTACTGTAGACTTTATAAACACTGTTCCACAAACCTTACCTGCTTACTTTGGAAAAGGTCAGAAACAGAACACCAAAGCTGTCAATGCTATTCCATGAAAAAGAGTGTAGGCTGGACTAATTGGAAATTATCGAGGAAAACACCCCTAAACAATCCAGAACTAAAATTCTACAAAACATTAACATGCCTGTTGGGAAACTTGGGGATAAGGGGTAGAGTGGAAGAGACTAGAGATGAGTGAGAAAGTGATTAAAGTACTTGTCTTCCTTGGAGGAATACAC